AATGCTTATATTATTTATAAAAAAAATGCGAATAATAGAGCAATGACCCGGTTAGATTTTATTTCGCGAATTATTTTTGATATTGGGCGTGAATGGATGAAAGAGAAGAGGGTACGAGTTTTTCAACGTGATTTTTTAGACGAAAATAGGCCACGTTTAGTGAAGTTGCCACAACGCAACTTACGGAATTGCGTAGTGTGTAGCACTAAAAATAAGAGAAAAAGATCACATCTGATTTGTGTACAATGTGAAAAGGGAGTTCATCCAACCTGTTATCATAAACATCAATGTTTTACATAGTAAAAGTTATTTCCAATAAAATATTATTTGTTTTTCAATTTTTTCATATTTTTAATTTATAACATATTTTACAAAAAAATATACTATGTACATATATATATATATATATACTATTAATTTAGAATAGGTAACAACCAAAGACAAATTGGTTACTGGCAGCGATGCGACGCGCGACGTATTTTAAGCGTCTGAAAAACTGAGCGCGTTTCTACAAATATCGGGTGGACCGTCAATTGTCGGTTTAGGCCAAATGCCCTGGCTTTTCTCGACACAAAATCTGAAGAGCGCGAAAGTGGCTCGTGGTACGCAAACGGTTAAAGTGTTTTATTATTGTACATTTTGGAATTAAAGTGTTTTATTATTGTACATTTTGCAATTTCAAACTACATGTTTTAATTTGTAATGTAGCAGGTAAGTTTTTTAAAAATCATCTATATTTTCAAGTTACTAATAATTTATAACAAAAATTGATTTTTTATGAAATAGGGCTAATTCTATAAAAACAGCAAAATGACACATAGATGTAACGAAAACGAAACTCAAAGTGAATTGGTGTATGATGATTTATCGGATGCACCAAACAACACTTGCGACGAAAATGAATTTAGTGATAGCAGCAATATCCTTGAATTAAGTGATGTAATTAGACATAGAAGAAGACTGAGTAAAAAATATAATGTTTCAAGCGAAAGTGAAGATTCGGAGATGGAGGCTGATGAACCTATAATTGAAGAATGGACAAGTGAGGATACTTTTCCAAATCTGGAACCTTTTGAAGGAATTTGTGGTACGTCAACATCATTACAAAAAAATTGCAGCGTAAAGGAAGCTGTTGATTGTATATTTGGTAATGAATTTTTCCAAATTATTTCTGAAGAAACAAATCGTTATTATTTACAAAATGTACATAAATATAAGGCTATTCYTAAACAAGGAAAATGGAGAAATGTATCATGTTCTGAAATAAAAAATTTGTTCGGAATATTTATTTTGATGGGACAAATACGAAAGGAAAACATAAAAGAATACTGGTCCGTGGATCTATATTTGGTAACACCTATTTTTTTCAAAATTAATGAGTAGGAACAGATTTGAACAGGTTACAAGGTATTTACATTTTAACGATAACACGAAAATGAATGAAAATAGTGGTAGACTGTACAAAATAGAACCTGTTTACAATTATCTTATAGAAAAATTTAAAACCGTTTACACTCCTCATCAGAACCTGTCGCTAGATGAAGCCATGATCCCTTGGCGTGGAAAATTAAAATTTWAAACATACAATCCACGGAAGCTCACTAAATATGGAATACTCGTACGAGTATTATCGGAGAGTCAAACGGGATATATATGTAATATAGAAATTTATTGTGGACAAGGCAAAAAATTGCAAGACACGATAACAACGATTCTTACACCGTATTTCGGATATTGGCACCATCTTTATATRGATAATTATTATAATACTTTGAACATTACTGAATTTTTATTACAAAATAAAATCCGAATATGTGGCACAATACGCGCCAATAGATTGCCAAAATGTTTAAAAACAAAAT